GGCAACAGCCCTCTTTATATACTTTTCAGAGGCGACCAAGAACCAATCAGAATTCACTGTACATTTGAATTTCCCGCACAAATTAGATACATACATAACAGTGGGCATGGGGTGGCTTGGTGGGCGTGGCTTGGTAGCATGGCAGGGGAAGGATAGTGCAAAATCTCCATTCCCACCCCACTCCTGGGGGAAGGATATTGCAAAATCTCCATTCCCACCCCACTCTGGGGCCAGCCAGAGGTGATATTAGCAGGTTCCCTGAACTATTCAAAATTTTCACTACTGGTTCTCCAGAACCTGTCAGAACCTGCTGGATTTCATCCCTGCTGCAAGAATTGTAAGGAAACAAGGTTAAGAAATAAAAAAGAGACAAAAGGTAGTCTGGAAAAAGGGGAACTGGGAAAAGGTGAGGAAACAGATTAAGTATGGGGAGATTCATGGAGAAACAGGCATTCTGGGAAGATTGCAACCCTGTGGTCTTTGTCAAAGGGGGCTGCAGGAAGGGATTTGTGGTTTGGGTTGGAGGGAATAAAAAGTTGGAGAAATATATCACTCTGTGTGCCTACCTACTAGTCATCCGTTCTTGCAAGGAAGTAATTTACATGCAGTAAACTGCTTGCTGCTTCATGTGCTTCATGACCCTGTCAAATTTCTAACTGGTGCGTCTGTTTCTCACAAGAGTATCCAAAAAAGTAACAAGTAATGTTGTTATGGAAGAAAGGAATTAGAGAGACATCCCTTCGGGCAGACAGAGTCAGCTTTATTATTGCAATAAGGATCAGATTGGTATTGTGACCACAAGATCTGAACAAAGTATAAAATGGAGACCTCAATCTTTATACATTTTCAAACAAAGGATTCTGTTAAGTCAGCAATTCATATGGTCATATACATTTGTCATTTTTAATTGACATTTCCTAATTACTGTTTCATTTTATTCTCTGCCAACATTCATAATTCTTTTTGTAGATTACTGAAGCATAGACTCAAATCAACTTCTGATGATATACAACTTTTAACTCATGTGGATCCCCTTGACCTAACCAACCTTTAAGGTGTATGTCATTAGAATGTTCTTTTCTTCTGACAATTTAGAGGCCTCCTAGAGGTACCAAAAGGATTTTGGCTGAGTTTGTACTTTTTCCAACCGGATGCATTGCTTTTTAGAATAGAGTGAATAGAAAGTTATCCAGTGGTCATCTATCAGAGCCCGCTTCATTTACATTAATGTTAGCAGATTAAATTATACAGGCCAAATTATTGTGATTGATGCTGTTCCAAAATCCTCATTTTACCTTCTTTCAAAGTATAATGTTATTCTGTTAAATCTAGTCTAGTCAGTGCGTCTTCAGTTCCAGGATGTAGTAAACTCAGAAGAAGACTGCCCAAAGTCATCCAGCTGACTTGGTACCTAAGGTGGGACCACAACTCACCATGTCCTGGTTTCTAGTTTGGTGCCTTAACCATTATTCCAAACTAGCTGCTCTGCTTACATTATATTTAAATAGAATGACTATTTGATTTATATTCAGTCTCCTAAAACACCCCATTCTCCACCATGCTGTTTCTGCAGTGGTCTACTGCACCAGGGAAATGCAATTTGTTTCCTTTTGCGTATATAATTTTTATTCAAAGTATTAAACAAGAAGATAAAAACTAATACAAACTAATGAAAAGAAAAGAAAAAGAAAGAAAAAGAATAAAGCAAAGAGGGAAAAAAATACAAACAAAGAAAAAAGTTGATGAAAAACAAAATGAAGAAAAATGTTATATAAGTAATATATTTTTATTTTCTAAAGTTACACAATACTCCAGATTGTTGGAGGCAATATGCTGACTTTATAAACCGCTTAGAGAGGGCTGTAAAAGCGTCATGAAGTAGTGTGTGAATCTAAGTGCTATTGCTATAATGTGAATTCAACCTTTTTGACCGTGCATTTTCCTACTGATTATCTGTATAACCAAAATTCTTAGTCCATTTTATCATGTATTCTTTAACTTGTTCTTCCTCTGCTTCAAATATCAACAAGTTTGCACATTTTTATAATTACAGTTCATGTTCATCATCAAAACACAATTATATTTCAAATTCTAGCTCTCTGCTTTATACTATGCCTTTTTTAAAATCTATTTTAAATCTTTCAATGACTGTAAATGGGAAAATCATTGACAATTATATTCATCTGCTACTCATTACACTCTTGATCTGATTTTAAATTCCCCTTGAGGATTTTCCAATAAGTTTGATATGTCAGCTATTTATCTTTGCCAGTTCTCTTCCATAATATGCTTCTTGAGCTGAGAGACTTCAAGGTATTTGTTGCCACAACCTGGGTCTATATTTATTGTATATCTTTAATATGGCATGATGAAGGGAGTTATTTTGAGGGAAGGAGAACTCTCAAAAAATTTCTCAAAGTTGGAAAAAAATCCTGACCAAAGACAGGATGCAATAACTGAAAAAACCCAACTGAATTTCCTCATGGTAACTTCCTTTATGAATTAAGAAAAGCATGGAAAGTCCCCAAGGTTGCAGGCTGGTAGAGGGAGGATTTTATTGGACACAATAAAAGGTGGAACATAAATAAGTGTAATAGTATCTCCTGCTCATATTTTGAAAATCTAAAGAATATCTACAACAAACAAGAGAATAGAATAGAACTCGTGGCTAAAAAGAAGGTGAAATGGGAAAAGAAGGAACTAATTTAAGAGCCTTGGTGGCGCAGCAGACTAAAGCACTGTTAAGTAACACCAGCTGCCTGCAATTACTGCAAGTTCAAATCTCACCAGGCTCAAGGTTGACTCAGCCTTCCATCCTTCCGAGGTAGGTAAAATGAGGACCCTAAATTGTTGGGGGCAATATGCTGACTCTGTATAAAAAAGAACACCACTGAGGGGGAGGGGGGGCGAAAGTCCTACTAAGCAGGTATATACAAAAGTATGAAGGCTATTGCTTAATGCATTGTAAACCTCCCTGAGTCTCTGGAGAAGGGCGGCATATAAATCGAACCAATAAATAAATAAATAAATAAATAAAATAATTTTAACTTCTATACTGGAAACTGAGCTGAAATTGGATATGGATTTGTTTAGCTATTTCTATTCTATTTCTCTGAACACAGCTTATAATGGTTAAGATGAATGAGAACAATTTAAAATCACATAGAGGTTGTCATGGGGAGGTGCGAGATACACAACCATTCGTAACAATGATACCAATTCAGAAGTGATGTCACTGAGGCCCAGTAATGAGGAAGCAGAAAGGGGTTCTAGGTCTTTTAAAAGAGAGTAGTGTTGGGGCTGTGTAGATCTCGAAGAATGAGGACAGATTCCTGCTTTCTGAGATACAAAATATATTATTGTACTGTTAAATAGATTGAATGTGAAATATGCCAAACCTGTTAGATCTTACTAGATAGATAAACAGACAAAATTTGAGGTGAAGTAGTCCTGCAGGCACAAACTTGCTTCAATTCAATTAAAAATTAATTTACATTAATGAATTTACGATTGTGTTTTAGGAAAGCATTGAATAAAGAATACTGTTAAGAGTTGCAAGTTCCTAGAATACATGAATTCATTGTGCAACCATGTCAGATTCTCCGGTATGTTTCAGGTGCAAGAAATTAGGAATCAAGATTGTTCAAATGAATGCAACGCTCTCTACCTAGGGCTGCCCTTGAAAACCACTCGAAGGCTTCAACTGGTGCAGAATGCGGCCGCACAGGTTGTGATGGGAGTGTCCTGACACTCCCATGTTACACCCCTCCTGCGCGACCTGCAATGGCTACCGGTTGCCCTTCGGGTGAGGTTCAAGGTGCTGGTTATCACCTATAAAGCCCTTCATGGCCTAGGCCCGGGATACTTGTCGGACCTCCTGCAGCCAGCAACAATCTCCAATCGCCCGGTGCGTTCCCACAGACAGGGCCTCCTCAGGGTGCCATCGGCCAGACAATGTCAGCTGGTGACCCCCAGGGGGAGAGCTTTCTCTGTGGGCGCACCCACCCTTTGGAACCAACTTCCTTTGGAGCTCCGGATGGCCCCTGACCTTTGCTCATTCCGTCGTGATTTGAAGACCTGGTTGTTTCGTAGCCTGGACTGATGCAGGGGAGGGTTTCTTAATAGTTTTAAATTGTTTTTAAACTGTTTAAATAGTTTTAAATTGATTTTAAACTGTTTTAAATTGGACTTTTAATTTCATATTGTTTTAATGTGCAATTGTGCATTTTATTGTTGTGAGCCGCCCTGAGTCCATTGGAGATAGGGCGGCATATAAATTGCATTAAACTTAAACTTAAACTTATTCCATGCTACCTCTATGCAAGAAGACCAACAGTCAGGGCAAATTGGTGGGAGATAAGAATCAACTGAATTCAATGAGGACTGGACTTAGATCTCTTGTGCGCACAAAGGGATTCCAGATTGATGATATATTTAACCCCTCCCTTGGCCTCGGTCTGGTCATCTCCTGCAATATGATCCAAAAATACAAAATCAGAGCTTCTTTCCTACCTTTTTCTCTCTCCTTCTACGTGTGTTTTTCAGGAGGGTAATGTGGCAATAAAACCAAGAAATAAAATGCAGTTCATTGGGTTAATTCAATATATTGCTTTTCTTCACAAACTTCATCAGACAAAAGAAATATATACTGAAACCAGAGTTGCATTGAAACAAACAAACAAAAAATTCAAATAAACTTTAGGTCTCCCAGAAAGGAATATGTTTGGGGAGGGGGTTTGAAAAGTCCAAAAAGTCAAGACAATAGTAATCACCATGCAATAAAAGCTCTGTTCCTTTTTCACACACATTACTTGCAAGACATATAAAAATGACACATTTATTTATTTTAGGCCCCTCTCATGCAAATTTTCCTTTTGCTTCAACGCTGTTCTTGTCAGACCATAATTAACTCAGGTTGGGTCTAAGTAATTATTACGGCTTTATTTACAATCTTTACAGAGGTGCCAATTTTTCAAGCTGTGACTATAAAACCCAGTAGCCATCTGGGGAGAAGTCAGGCATCATCTTCCAAGGAGCCGCAGCAATGAAGGCATTAGTGCTCACCCTCCTCTTTCTCCTCATTGCAGCCAATGAAGCCAAAGTATACTCCAAATGTGAACTGGCTTCCCATCTGAAACAAGGTGGCATGGATGGATATTATGGCTTCAGCTTGAATGACTGTGAGTTTACCTTCTCTTTTTCACCACCTGTCAAAAAGTTCCACAAGTTCCAGGTTTGCAAGGGGGGTGGGTCCAAAACGGGGCAGATCTTTTGAAGAATTGAGTTCATCCACCCCACCCAAAGAATAAAAGCTTGTTTCAGTTTTCTTACAATGTTAAAATATGCTTTTGTCCCATCCCAAATGACTGGGGAGGTCTCCCACTTCACCCTGCACTAACACCTTTATTTTTATGGGAACAAACAATATCCACTTCATTGCCTATTTGGCACAACAGCAAAACTGGAGTGTGATTAGACCACTGTATTATTTGTATTTTAAAAACCCATGCCTTAGCCAATATTTTATATCTTACCAATATAATATCTTCAGACTATCAATATAATATCTTCAGAATATCAATATAATATCTTCAGAATATCAATATAATATCTTCAGAATAAACAGTTATCCCTGCCAGGGATCTGACCGTTGGATGCTAATCATCTTCTCAAAGGTGAAATTCTTCAGATTCTCCCAAATCATTTCAGTTCAGGATATGGTTGAAGGAGCCATCACAGAAGATTTTCCACAGGTACAGCAGTACCTCCCCCCGGGAAGGCCTGGATAAGGAAAAGAGAAGAGGTGGTTTATGTGCCATTAACAACCCCAGAAATATCTTGGAGACAATAATCAGACTTATTCCAAATTCTCCTGATGGATTCCAAAATGTATTGGACTTCTTGGGTCCTTCCTTCCTTCTTTGGAAAAGGATATTCTGCTAAATATTCTGTTTTAAATGTTCCGTGTGAGAAACCAGGATAGCCTTTTCATTTACAGCAAAAGCCATTTGTGACCCTTTCCCCATTTTCTTTCTTCCAGGGGTCTGCATGGCTTTTCATGAAAGCAGTTTTGACACCCGAGCTGTGGGGCGGCCAAACAGGAATTATAGTCGTGACTATGGGATTTTTCAGATAAATAGCCGTTGGTGGTGCAACAATTACCAGGGCCATACAGCTAATGGCTGCAATAAACCTTGCAGTGGTAAGATATGTAGGGAAGAAGAGCTATAATCTTGATAAACGAATGCAAGAGTTGTTAGGAGAACTATTAAGAGAAAGTTATGAGAAAAGAATGACAACTCAGACCTGGGAAAGAAGGAAGCATCTGAAAGAGATTGAAAATTACCTGACCTTGATCCTGTTTGTGTGTGAGGTGGGAGAGAGAAAGTTTTAAAATTCTGTTCTTATTATTGTGGTCTATGACAATGAAGTAATATAGATTCCCATAATCCTTGTAATGTTTTTTTCCTGATCTACTATCAAGGGTTTTCCTTAGAAAAGGAAAAAGGTGAAATAACTCAATTGAAAATGTTCTAGGGAAATTCTAATCCTTCTTCTCCTTTATCGGTTTCTGTAATTGTCCAACTGCACCCATCACTTCATGAAGATTCAAGTTTAATCATCCTGTCTCTCAAAATTGTTTCAAGTTCCTACTTGAGTCATTGTGACAGTACCTAGCCACATCGTTTTTTGTTGACCTGATATCCTTCATCAGTCTACTCTTCTACTTAGTATCCCATTTCTAAGCTTCTCACAAGTTGTCTACCTTGCCCCACAAAGACATATCTGACTTTGTGCCTCCACACCACCCAATCCAGTGCGGTCTGATTTCTAATGAACATCAGATCCATTGTTGGTGAGGTCCCCTATTCCACAAACATCAACATCAACAATCTCTCTTATTTTTTCTGCTCTATATATTAATTTTATGCAAATATTTGGAAATAACTTTGAAACATCTGGAATGGGACATATTCTAATTTGCCTCTCCCGGCAGCTTTCACAAATGATGACATCACAGATGATATTGTTTGTGCTAAGAGAATTGTGCGTGATCCCCAAAGGATGAATGCCTGGTGAGTCAATCTTTATTTTTTATTTTTTTATTTTATTTTTATTTATTTTGATATGCCGCCCTTCTCCGGAGACTCAGGGTGGCTTACAATGCTTAAGCAATAGCCTTCCTACTTTAGTATATTTTATACAAAGTCAGCTTATTGCCCCCACAAACCAGGTCCTCATTTTACCCACCTTAGAAAGGATGGAAGGCTGAGTCGACCTTGAGCCTGGTGAGAATTGAACTCACAATAATTGCAGGCAGCTGGATGTTAAATGCTGCCTTAGTAGGAGGCATTAGCCTGCTACGCCACTCAGGCTCCTTTAATTAACATCTTCCACTTGTAACGTTGGATAGCAATTGGACTGTCTTGAAAGTTAATTATCTTTCTTTTGTTGTACTATTGTTCAGCTTTAACATTGGTGGTAAAATATAGTTTCTTGATATGACTTTTTTTTCAAAATAGCTATACTTGTATCCTGGTTGTTTTAGAATATGGGTTTAACAGTATTTTGAATTTGGGTTTAACCGTCTTTTAAATCCTGATTTAAAAGTAGATTGGCACACAGCTTAGCAGAATGAATGTTGATGCCTATTATAGCTGGATTTTTTTTCCCAATAATTTGACATCCCTTATCCAGTTTTGTGCTTGTCAGCTATTTATAGATCTTTTTAAACACAGGTTCACCATCAAGATTTAGCACCTAGTTGATTTTAAACCAGAAATATTTTTATTAGGGATTGTACCAGAAACATATAATAGAAAACTGAGATACTTAATTGTGAATGTCTTAACAGCGGCTAGAATTGTATTTGCTAAAAACTGGAAAGGAGAGAAAATACCTACTGATGATGGTGTTATTAAGAAAATTTTGGAATGTGCTGAAATGAGCAAATTGACATTTGAAATTAGAGAATAGGAAGATAAACAATATTACTCGATATGGAACTTATTTTACCGATGGCTAGACAATAAAGCATGGAAATGAAATATGAAATATGAAATGGATGTAATAATAAAATACATAAAACAGTTTTTTTTAAATGGGAGATAAGCCATTGTTAAATAATTGGTAAATGAGAATATGGATATGGGATTAAGCACAAAAGATTTGTAACCGATCGATACACTTTATGTAATTGTAATGGATGATGATTTTTTAAAGTTTTGTTTAAAAATAAAAAAACTTTTTTTCAAAAAAAAAAGATTTAGCACCCAGTTTGGACAGGCAAGAAAAGAATTTGGCAAATGGCCTTTTAAACACCAGAATTCTGATCTCACGAATGAGCTCCAAGGGATCGGAGAACTGAATCTGTAAAGAACCTAGTAGTGAGACCAGCAGAGAGAGAGAAGCCTCCATTTATAGAATGGGTAGAATAATCTGCAGCAGCAGATTATTATATAGGAAACTCTTAAACCAGCAATCAGCATTTAAAAGCAAATCATAAAGATATTGTGTGGTCAACAATTAGAGTTATCTAATAGTTGCTCTGCTGTGTGCCCTTCCAAGACACTCTAAGGTTTTGTGCAGGATTTTATGACCTCTCTGGTGCTCACTCACCCAATACTTTGGAGTTTAAGTGTCTTTAGCCCTGCCTAACATGGATTCTGGCAAGTTTATGTTGGAGACTGGAGTCCAATGTATCTGTTGGGCATCAGTGGCATTGTGAGAAATAGAAACTCAGGGCTATTTTAGCTAAAACAATTATTTTTCTTTGATTTTAACTTGGGGGAAAGGGATTTATTGAAATAACTAGCTCACCTTGAAACTTCCTGACTCTCTTGAAGCAGAGTTATAGCATCCAACAAATAAGCATGTGTGTGATGTAGAAAGGAAAGCAATCTTCTTATTCTTACTTCTAGGGTTGGCTGGAAAAACAAATGCAAAGGTAGAAATCTGTCTGAATGGACTCGGGGCTGCAATCTCTGAGATTGCTGATCCTCCATTTCTTTTTCCCCTCCTGTGATGAAAATGATGCTCCTTCTTACATAAGCCACATTTGACAACTTGATTCTATACTTGTACCTCACATGTTTAAAATAATGGATTTCTTTGCATACAAATGATGATTTTTAAAAGATTTCTGGGTGGAAAATGGGAAAGTAGCTTGCTTTTTTTAAACCCTTCAAAAATTGCTTCAATAAAATGAGTATTGTGCATGTCCTTCCCTGTTTCATGCTTTATTTATTTCCTTTTTCATCTTACATTAGTTCCACATAACTGAACTGGCTACCAATCTTTTTTGTGGCAGGAGATACCTGTGTAACCAAACATATCATTGGCTCAAAGCTTGACTTCATTTAACAGAGATCCTGATGCACCTCTTCATACAATATTAGTAACCTACCTTGAAAATCTTACATATGAAAACTCTAGGTTAGCATCCAAGGGCAGACAATTTCTAGGGTTAATTTTCTTATGCTTTCTCTCTATGGTATAAGGAAAATGGATGTCTGAATTTGGAATTTGGCGGCCATCTTTCTCCTGTCTCTTTATCTGCCAAATTGCAAAGTGTCCAAATAAGAAGGCAACATCAGCAGAATAAAATAGAATGACTACTTGGTTTAGGAGACAATACTTAGAGATTCAATCTCTTAAAACACCCTGCCCTCCCACCATACTGGTTCTGCAGTGGTTTACTGTATCATGGAAATGAAACTTGTTTACCTTTTTATATAACTTTTATTAAAATTGTTAAACAAGAAGATAGAAACTAAAACAAACTAATATAAGCAAGGAAGAAGAAAGAAAAAGAAGAAAGCAGAGGGAAACCAAAAAGTGCAAGAAAAGAAAAAAATTGAAGAAAAACAATTGAAGAAAAATGGTTTCTGATATCTTTACAGCGGTTATAAACACAAATTAATTTTAACCTCTCTCTCTCTCTAAAATTACATTGTATTGTTCTTCTTTCAATAATCTATTCTATCAAAACCATAAAATCAAAATTTTAAAATGATTTTCTATCAAAATCATCAAAACCATAAATCATGTTCATTTTTATACAAAAATCCCATAAGAAGTTTCTAATCACCAATAAATAGATCAAAGAAATCAATTTACCTATTTGAGCAAAATTCATCTACCAGTCATTCCTTCATAATGGGTAGTGTCAAACCTTTGCATCTCTCCATGTATAGTAATCCCATTTTAGTAATTATATATTGAAATCATCTTCCATGGATTTTTTTCTGTTTATCCATTAATCCTAAAAAGGAAGGTTTTGGCTTCAATGGTATATTGATCTATACCAGTGGTGAAATCAATTTTTTTTTACTACCGGTTCTGTGGGTGTGGCTTGGTGGGCATGGCCTGGTGGGCGTGGCAAAATCTCCATTCCCATCCCACTTCTGGGGGAAGGATATCGCAAAATATCCATTCCCACCCCACTCTGGGGCCAGCCAGAAGTGGTATTTGCCGGTTCTCCCAACTACTCAAAATTTCCACTGGATTTCCTGCTGGATTTCACCCCGATCCATACAATCATCTGTATCAAACTTTGCATTTGAATCATTTTGGAAGGTTTTTTTTACATGTCCACCAAGCATGAAGGTACATCCCTTCATGCTATTCACATTTCCAACATACACTTGAAGAGCCTTTATACGTTCTACATCATTTTTCTGACCTCATGTAGAATGAGATTCTCTTTGACACAATGTAAATAACCAAAATTCTTATCCCAATAGGCAATTACTAGAAAAGCCCAACTGGAGGAATTTTGTTATGGTAACTTTCTTTGTAAATTAAGACTGCTGGAGAGAGGATTGATGGACACAGTGAAAGATGGGGTGTAAATGGAGTGTAAATAAGTGCAAAAGTGTTGTTATGCACACTGCTGGGTTTGGCTTATGGTCAGTCTCACACTCACAGCCCTTATGAAGAGCCATATTCAAATCACTTTCAACAGAATGTAAGGAACAATCAGAGAGCGAATGAATTTAAAATAATAATAAAACTTCACTGGCTACAAGGTACATTTGGTCATTCATACACACACACACACACACACACACACACACACTGATCCAAGGTTATCCACATTTTTATCAACTAGGATGACAAGCACTCATCAGAAGCTGCCAGACTTGATCCAAAGATGGCTGAAAGAGTGGATGGGCTTGTGGCTCTTTTATCACCCAAAATCTAATCTAATCTAATCTAATCTAATCTAATCTAATCTAATCTAATCCAGTGGTGGGTTTCACTTATCTTTGCTACCGGTTCGCTTCTGTGCATGCGCAAAGGGTATTTGATGTCGTCTGGGCAGGTGGGTGGAGCCTCCCGTCGCCGCTACTACTGGTTCACCTGAACCGGGGTGAACCGGTAGCAATCCAGCACTGATCTGATCTGATCTGATCTGATCTGATCTGATCTGATCTGATCTGATCTGATCTGATCTGATCTAATCTAATCTAATCTAATCTAATCTAATCTAATCTAATCTACTTGCTTGGCTTGGCTTGGCTTGGCTTGGCTTGGCTTGGCTTGGCTTGGCTTGGCTTGGCTTTCGGCTTTCGGCTTTCGGCTTTCGGCTTTCGGCTTTCGGCTTTCGGCTTTCGGCTTTTGGCTTTTGGCTTTTGGCTTTTGGCTTTGCTTTGCGACAAGACCGGCAGCTACTCTTACCTTGCTGTTTTACAAGTCTGGAAGGTATTGATGGGATTTCAGGAGGGGGGGTTCATATACTCAGGCTCAACTTCCTTTGTCCAGTTCAGATGATATTTATTTTCTTTTGCTTCCTTAATGACTTGGTTCTTTCTTAACGACTTCCCCTAAGATATATTTTAGACAAGATTCCTAGTTTTTCTCCACCCAGCTCATATGCTTACTTCATCCTTAGGTATGGAAGCTTCAGCCTAGTCTCACAGTGTCCTCTAATATTTCCAAAATTTAAAGATTATCTACAACGAACTCTTTTACAAAAGGAGGTGAAGGGGAGGAGGAAGGAATTTTAATTTTTGTACACTGAAAATGGAGTCGAAGTCTCAGACTTGACATGGGGTTGTTTATCTTGTTTATAAATTCTATTTCTCTAAAAGCAATTTTTTTAAAAAGATAATAATTTTAAATCATGTAAAAGAGGTGTAAAATACACAAACATTCATAATAATGAGTCAAATTCACTGGCCCAGTGACTGAGGAAGCAGCAAGATGCTCAAGAAGTCAAGATCTTTCAAAAAAGAGCAGAACTGAGGCTCTCTTCTCAGGGAAGCCAGGTTCTTGCTTCCTGAGATCCAAAAGATGTTACTGTTTAGATCAGATCTGAAACGGTCTAATCCTGTTAGATCTTACGAGATAGATAGACAAAACTGGAGATGAGTTAGTCCTGCAGGCATCCTGTAAGTAACCATGTAGGGCTTTTGCAGATAAAAACCAGCACCCTGAATTTCCCAAGAAAACAAGTGGCAACTGTTGGAATACAGTGTCCATGTATTTTATGCAACAATACAGCAGTAGGGATATATATTCTCCAACCGGTGTTTGTAACTGATTGATGGTGGATAGTTTTCCAGGACAGCCTATGTAGAGTTCACTGCACTGACTTATACTGTGAATAATTCACAGAATCCAGTCATAGAATTCAGCAATTTCAGATCATGACGGAGAAAAATCTGTGGTCCCAGAGAGTTGATGATGACTTGATGACACATGTAAAAAGGGAAAAACAGCAATAAAATCAAGAAATAAAGTACAGTTCACTGGGTTATTTCAATATGTTGCATTACTCCACCAACTTCATCAGACGAAAAAACATACACCGAAACCAGAGTTGTATTGAAACAAACAAACAGAAACCTCAACTAAATGTTGAGTTACCCAGAGAGAGAGGAATGTCTATGGGGCGGAGATCTGAAAAGTCAAGAAGGCGGCATTCACCATACAATAAAAGCCCTGTCTCTTTTTCACATACATCAAATGTGAGGCACATTAAAAAAGCTTCAATCACACAGTTGAAACTAACACTTGTTCATTGGTCCGACATCTGTCAAGGAACTAAAAATGCTGTCCACTATTTGTTGGTTTTGGCTTCTGATAAAATTGAAAGTGATAATTATTATTTCTCCTTGATCTTTGGCCTCAGCACTCCCTGCTTATCAGTTCATATTAACCTCAGATAGAGGAATTATTGCTACACACTTTGTTTACCATCTCTCCAGAGGTGCCAGTTTCTCAAGCTGTGACTATAAAATCCCATAGTTTTCCTGGGGAAGTCAGACATCGTCCTCCAAGGAGCTGCAGCAATGAAGGCATTAGTGCTCGCCCTCCTCTTCCTCTTCATTGCAGCTAATGAAGCCAAAGTATATTCCAAATGTGAACTGGCTTCAATTCTGAAACGAAATGGCATGGATGGATATTATGGCTACAAATTGGGCGACTGTGAGTTTACTCTCCCTTTTTTCTCCACCATAGCAAGTTCCAGGTTTGCAAGGGGAATCCAAAATGGGGCAGATCTTTCAAGAATTAGTTCAACCAATCTTCCCAATGAATCTTTTAAATGTTCTTAGAATAAGAATATATGCTTTCTTCCCATCCCAAATTATTAGGGGAAGCTCACGCTTCTCCTCAGACTAACACCCTTATTTTTTATCAAGGTGGTAGATTTCCAATTTGTTGCCTGATTGGGATAATTGCAGAACTGAGATATGGTTATACCATCTTGGACTCTGTGTGGTGTTTTTTTTTTTTTTTTACAATTATGGCTTGGTCAATATTTTATTTACTCTCTTAAGAATAAGGGATTATCCCTACCTTTGGGATTATCGATTACCTTTGAGAGGATAAATATCCTCTCAAAGGTAAGATCTTTCAAATTCCACCAAATCATTTAAATTTAGTATATGATAGAAGGAGCAATCACAGAACATTTTCTACATGTGCAGATTGCCAAAGGATGCACAATGAAAAAGTACCTCCTCCCTGGAAGGCTCAAATTAGGAAAAGAGAAGAAAGGAAAATTCCCTAAAAGGTTCCAAAATATATTGGATTTTTTGGATCTTTCCTTGGTTGAGGGAAGAATGAGAAGATAGTTAAGCATTGTGTTATAAATGCTCTATTTAAAAAAAACAAACAAACCAGGATAGCTTTTTCATTTATAGCACAGCACTTTTATAGCCCGTTCATCATTTGCTCTTTTCCAGGGATCTGTATGGCTTATTATGAGAGCA